AGGGTTAGGAAACAAGAAGGTTTAAAAATGAATACACTATTCAGATCCTTTTATGGTGGGGCTACTCTATGCAACCCCAATTATTCTGGAGGCCACATAAGGGATAAGGCTCCCCTCTACTTACAGGAACCTTGACAGCTCCAGTGACAGCTGTGTCCCTTTTTCCCCTGTTCCTTGTGGCCTCAACCACAGTAGGCTCTGCCAGATGTACATAAAACCACTGCTGCCAGAAACGATGGTTCGAAGAGGTTACTACTCTCCCTAGAAAATCACAGCCTGGGATCTTCAGAGAGGAGACTCTTCCTGCTAACAGGATAGCGCATAGAGAGAGGTGGAGAAACCTGAATGCTCAGAAGCCTTGAAGGGATTCCTAAAGGCAGATAACCAAGCCCTAAACCAGCTAGCTGACAACTGTGTCAACACAGTCACAGTTTTATCCAACAGCTAAACTAAAAATAATCTGACACTTCGCCACAGCATGCCTGCCTGGCTCTGATGTGCAGAACAAATGTTAAAATACAGGCTGCTGCTGTATGTTCAACATTTGATGTTCTAATGACGTCAAGAGGGATTCAGAGATTTGAATGTGAAAATCACCTAGGAAGGCAGCTCCTCGGTGCTCAGTTGATTAGATAATGCTTTGTCTCTCTTTTCATAGTGATGTACGTGGTCTCTTTACGAGTAGTATACAAAGGATATTGGGGCGAGTGCTAACTTCTAATGATATTTGGTACTTATGCTTCTCGGATATCTTTTTGGTATCACCGATAGGTCTCATTATATATATTTTTTCGTAATCCCTTATTAGAATAGGCGATCCTTGAGGGCAAGAATCATGTCTTTATCTTTATCCATCTCTATCTCTCTGAGACCAAAAGAGCCCTGGCAATTTAGAAAGCTCTCAATACAAAATTTATTAGATAAATGAATAAATGAACAACTGAAAAAACAGCAAAAATCCAACCTTAGGGGGAGGGTCTGGGGAAGCTTCTTAAAGGATGTGATGATTGATCTAAGTCTTTAAGAAATTGTAAACTCATTGGAGTTGGTAAAGCAATAGAGAGGAGGAGAGTGGATGTTCCAGGCATTTGAAATTCTCATCAAAGGAATTAGAAGTGGTTCAGTATGGCATGTGGGCAAAAGGGAGGGGATGAAGCTGAAAAATGGGCAGGGGCCAGAAGTACCTTGCATATTCTGCTAAAGAGTTTGAATTTTATAATGTGATACATCACATAAACAAAATGAAGGGTGAAAATCATGAGCACATCAGTAGCTGTAGAAAATGCATTTGACAAAATCTAACATCTATTTACGATAAAAACTCTCAGCAAAATAGGAATAGAGGAAACATACCTCAATATAATAAAAACCATATATGACAAATACACAGCTAACATCATACTCAATAGTGAAAAGCAGAAAGCTTTTAACTTAAGATCAGGAACAAGACAACAATATTCACTTTTACCACTTTTATTCAACATAGTATTGGAAGTCCTGACCATAGCAGTCAGACAAGAAAAAAAAATAAAGGCATTCTAATTGGAGAAGAAGAAGTAAAACTGTCATTCTTTGCAGATGACACGATATGATATATAGAGAACCCTACAGATTTTACCAAAAACATATTAGAATAAATAAATTCAGTAAAGTAGCAGGATACAAAATTAAATTTTGAAATCAGTTGAATTTTCATACACCAATAATGAACTTTTAGAAAGAGAAATTAAGAAAACAATCCCATTTGCAATTGTGTATAAAAAAATACTTAGGGATAATTTTACCCAAGGAGGTAAAAGATCTGTACTCAGAAAACTAAAAGGCATTGACAAAAGGTGAAAGGGATTAAGAAATACAAATTGCCAGTTATAAAACTAGTCACAGGGATATAAAGTACAGGGAATATAATCAATAATACTGTAATAACTATGTATGGCATCAGATGGTGTAAGATATTCACCAAAGATGCATCTGATAAGGGGTTAACATCCAAAAAATATAAGGAACTCATGCAACTTAACACCAAAAAAACAAACAATGCGATTAAAAAATGGGCAGAGGACCTGAATAGATCCTTCTCCAAAGAGGACATACATGTACCAACAGACAAATGAAAAGATTCTCAACACCACTAATCTTCAGGGAAATGCAAATTAAAACCACGATGCTATATCTTCTCGCACCTGTCAGAATGGCTATTATCAATAAATGAACAAACAAGTGTTGGTGAGGATGTGCAGAAAAGGGAACCCTGGTGCACGGCTGGTGGGACTGTAAATTGGTGCAGCCACTATGGAAAATAGTATAGAGGTTCCTCGAAAAATTAAAAATAGAACTACCGTATGACCCAGCAATTCTAAAATATGGAAGCAATCTAAGTGTCCATCGACAGACAAATGGATAAAGAAGAGGTAGTACATACATACAATGGAATATGCTCGGCCATAAAAAATGAATGGATGAACATAGATGCATATTATGCAAAACATGTTATGCAAAGTAAAATAAGTCAGATAGAAAAAGACAAATACCGTATGATTTTACTTACATGTGCAATCTAAAAAACAAAATAAATGAACAAGCAAAACAAACTCAAGATACAGAGAACAAATTAGACGAAAGGGGAGTGGGGGAGATGGGTGAAAAGAGGTGAAAGGGATTAAGAAGTACAAATTGTCAGTTATAAAAATAGTCACAGGGATATAAAGTACAGCATAGGAAACACAGTCAATAATACTGTAGTAACTATGTATGGTGTCGGGTACCAGACTTATCAGGAGGATCACTTTGTAAGTTATATAAATGTCTAACCACTATGCTGTACACTGAAACAAATATAATATTGCATATCAACTGTAATTGAAGTTAAAAAAAAAGAGTTTGAATTTTATTTTACTGGTAATGGCAGTCACAAAAAGATTTTCAATAAGTGAGGAACATAATGAGATTTTCTTATAGGAGTTATTCTTTGGCAGCAACATGGCGGGTAATTGAGATGAGATTTCAGAGAGCTAAGAGCTCCTTGCAGTTAACAGTTGAGAGATGAATAAGGTCTGACCTACAGTTGAAAAAGTTTCTATCTATCATCTGCCTCCCACAGTCAGCTTGTCATCATCACCAACACCATTACATCCTCCTTCAGGAGCCAGGCCTGGGGATTCTGAGTAGTAACAGAAAATGTCAACCACAATAGTGCTTCACAAACACTTTTTTCTTAGCTGGGCCACACCAAAAGGCAAAGTGGTTTTTCCAGAAGGTTCACGAGCAGAACCTCCCCTCTCCCCCCAAAAGAGTGGAATGACTCCTTCTGATGCCACAATCATTGGGCCACCTCGCTTCTCTCAGCAGTTACTGTGCCCCTCTGCCACATTGTACATTTTCAGCAAGGGAGTGAAAAAGAAGAGGCAGGGGGACAAGAGAAGAGAAAGGTGATAAAGGAGCAAGTCAGATGGTGAGGACCCTTTATTTATCTCATTTGTCAATAAAGAAGAAGAAAAAAAGCTGTTGCAAGAATAGAAGCTGTTTACATTTCGTGGCCCATTACTAGGACTCAAAGTTTACAAAGGAGATTTAGGATAGAGTGTCCATGGATATTCTCTCAGCTTATTTATGGAGAAAGATCACTCTCTAGCACATATCTGATGCGAGTTAAAAGGAGCTAACCCCTTCCTCTAGGAGTGTGGTTCTCAACCTTGGTTATACATTGACATTAACAAATAACTAAAAATATACACTCATACCTGAATTATACCCCAAGAGATTCTAATTTAATTGGTCTAGGATATAGTCTTGGAATTCGTCTGCTTATAGAATTCTCTGGTTGATCTGAATGTGCAGATGGGCTGAGAACCATTGCTCTAGACCAGGGGACAGCAAAATTTTCTGTAAAAACCCAGAGAGGAAATATTTTATGCTTTCTGGGCCATGTGATTTCTGTTGCAACTACTCTGCTGTTGTGCGAAAGTAGCCATAGACGATATGTAAATGAATGACTGCAGATGTGTTCTAATAAAACTTTAATACGAAAACAGTCAGTGGGCTGGATCTGGCTCATGAACCATAATTTACTGATCCTTACTGTAGGAGCACACTCCTAGGAGGCCGGATTGTCCAGGTTCCTAAGTTAGATATGGAGGGAATAGGAAAAATATTCTAGTTTAAAAAAAGGCATTTGGAAGAATGTTCTAATCTTATTTTAGTAAAATAAGATATGTTTCTAAGTTCCATTTCATAAAATGCTTGGTTCTCCTGGAGAAGTAAAGTCTTGGTAGTTGACAAAAGTTCATTTTACCAACCCTGCAGTAGCTGTCTGTTAATAATAATACTGTGTGGGTCAACTTTACATTTAAAATCTGCTGACAAGGAGTTTGGATTTAAAGTCTTGGTTCAGTATGAGATAGGCCCCACTTAAGGCAAAGCTGTCAGGTTGGATCTGGGGAGTGAGGGAAAGAAAAAGTACACCATTAATTTCCATTGAACCTCGATGCTCTTTGTGATTTTTATATTCTGGAGAAAAAAATCCAATAAGGTATAAAGAAGAGAAAAAAATAACCAGAAATGGTAAATTAGAAGGATTAGACATGAAAGATATGACACCTAAACTTAGAATCTAAATCAGGACAGAGAAAAATTAAAACTTAAATGAGAAGAGGGTGCTTACAAGGTCGGGGGGCTGACTGGTGGACTGCTTGCTATGTTTTATGTTCTCAAGTTCCTTGGCTAGAATTCAGTCATGAGCCTATGTGTGTTTTCTGTTCATTTTGTTTTGTTTTTAATTCTACATGGAGAACCAATTTTCATTTATACTATCATTTATGCTGGAAAAATCCAGAGAAAGCAAAGACATTAGAGAAATAAACTTTTGCCTAATTCTTACGTTTCGCTTCCATCATCACTGGTTTCATCGCTCTCTGTGGAAGGAGTAGTAAATGATAGATGGCTGCAAATCATGCCCCTTATAATCAATGCTAGATGAGCTGTGTGGGTTCTGTTGTCCTTACCTTTATCCTGTCTATGTTGGCTTCCATCTTCAGCTGTTCTACCAGCTTCCTGGCCTGTGCTATGCTGGCAGTGTTGTTGCTGGCCATTGGAGTGCTCAGTGGGTTTTTCAGACACACTAGGAAAGAAAACGAGGAAGAATGCATCAGAGAATTCAAGAGCTGCCAAATGTACAGGTTCACCATAACTGGGGGAATCTCAAAAGTGTGGGTATGTACAGGCCTGGCTAATTCAGCCCTCTGTACCCCCAATCCAGCACGCTTCTGACTGTCAGGCAGACCAAAACATGGGGTTTGTTTTTCCAACTCCCGTCACCGACCGCCCTTCCATGCTTTTTTAGGGGGGAAAAAATGAAGAATGTTACCAAGTCAGTTAGAATAAGATGTGCTGCCAAATTAATAAAGCAAGTTATTAAAATTACTTTAATTTATGAAATAAATTAAAAACGGTAAGGGTGACAGAATGCATCATCACCGTTGTTATTTATTGGGTACTACCATTGTCAGATAATGCATTAAAGTGCCTTAAGAGGATGAGCAGTAAAGACAAAAAAAGACAGAAGTAGTAAATCATATAATCCTACAGGACTAAAGACACCAAGTTTACAATGTTCCTTTGATGGGCTCAGATATCAACTTTCTGGTTAACTATAACCACTTGGGCCTATTAAGTGGCAGAGAGACTGCAAGAGGAGGTGTGGCTTTGCAGTGTCATTTATCCAGCACTGTTTAAAACAGTCATTTCTCTTTACTCTATGTGAAATATAGCTTTATTCACGACTATCCACTCTACTCACAGTTCTTCAGAAATACGTCTATATCGTCAAGGGGAAGGGATTGCCATGTCTAAATTGTTAATTACATCAATGAGCTCACCAGTGGTATTCTAAGTACAGTACAACAGACTTACTAATTTTTAAAACATGGAAATGGAACATAAATGCTTGGAGAGTGGAATTGTTCTGGACCTATGCAGACTGTGAGAGGTTTCTCTGCCCCTGGCTCTGCCACACTTCCTCTCCACCCTTGACCCGGCTCCCTTCCAGTGACTGTCACAATTTCATTTCTCTTCTAATTCTTTCTTGACCCACCATCTCACTTTATTCTCGTTGCTCGTCTCGAAAAGTGTCCTATTTTATTTTCAGTGTCCATTTTCCCATTTGTTCAGGTCTTCCTTCATGACAAGGTGCCATATGCTATTTTGGGGCTGTCTGTGTAAAGGTGCCCCTGGAGGTCACTGACATCCAATAATAAAGCAATGTCTGAGAGATGCAATTTAACTAGAGTGCATGACCCAATAAATGAGAAGCATTAAAACACTGCTTCAGTCAACACTAGTTGAATCTTGTTCTGAAGACATTTTATTAAAAACCGTGACTTCTGCTACCTTTAGGGAATATTTTTATCTAGGGATAAAGTAGGATCAGGCTACCATCTAAAAAAGGAAAGAGGACAAATAGAAAACCTGGGGAAGGAAGAATGACCCAAAATAAGTTCAATACATAGATTTTTATTAGAATCAAAAGCGATTTTTAATTATCAAAGAAGCAAAAGTCTATAAATTATCTTCTTTGGTTCTTATTTCTTGATATCTAGTTCTTCACGACAAAAGAATTATGTATAACTCTCTATAAACAAAGAAGTCCCTTTATAGAGTGCTATTTTATAAAGAATACTGCAAAATAAGTTGCTTCGATAACATTTACAGTATAAATTGGAAGTTAAACTAACCGTTCCCTCAACTTATTTTCAAAGGAGTTGGACACAATAAAATGGGAAGGAAGACTGAAGGGATTTTAAAGCCATAAAGATCTCTGAATTCTACTTTCATATGTTTGAACATCAAGGGAACATATAAAAAACAAACAAAATAATATTTAAAAAAAGCCTTTACTAACTATGATTTCATCAACATGGTTAAGGACCCAATCATCTCAGCTCTACAGGGAAATTATATGCCCCCAAGTTAGACAAACATTGAACTGCCTCACAAAACTTCATAAGGCAGAGATGGAGTAGTGACTTATCAATTAGGGTAGCCTAATTCTTCCATTCATCCAAAGTTGAAAGGCAGCCATGATCTATAAGCCCTGGACACTGTTCGATGAAGTTAATATTTCTTCTAAACTAGAATTTATCACACTAGAATATAGACTATCACAGAATTACCAAATCCTCACTGGGTCGGAGGGAGCTTTGAGAGTCTGGCTAGCCTCTAAATCTAAATCAAATCACAGAGACCACAGCTTGCCTCCAATTATCCCTTCTTTTCTTCATTAGTAATAACATTTTTTTTTCCTTTTTACCAGAGATTTCAAGAAACCTGAATATTAGCTGGGCATATTTTGCTGGAAGATATATTCTCTAGCTTCCCTTGCAGCTAGGTATAGTCATATGACTAAGTTTTGACCAATGAGATATAAGCAGAAGTATCCTTGAAGGGAAGGGGTATGCCCTTTGCCTCTTCTTCCTCCTGTAACTGGCCTAGAAGGTAGTCATGTTGATCACAGAGCTCTAGGCTATACTTCAGAGGTGAGCAGGAAGGATCCAGGTTCTTATTGACACTGTAGAGCCACCATGCCACCTGTGAACTGGCTACCATCTATGTGAAGAGAAATAAGCACTATCACCATTATTGAGGGTTTCCTCTGCCGTTGGCTGACAGACCTGTCATTAACTGATTAAATGATCCAATATATCACTCAAGTATCTAGGAAAGTTTATGTTCTAATGCCTGTTTATGTTCCCTGGGAAAGCTGTGGGTGTCCTGAGGAGACAGAGATAAAAAGAGTATGAATTTTCTATTGCTGCTGTAACATTATTATAAATTTATAGCTTAAACAATACTTAAACAATATTATCCTACATTTATAGAGATCAGGAGTCTGAAGTAGGTCTCACTGGGCTAAATTCTAGGCGTCAGCAGGGCTGCATTCCTTCTGGATGTTCTATGGGAGAAACTGTTTCCTTTCCTTTTCTAGCTTCTAGGGGCTGCCAGCATTCCTTGGCTCTTGGCCTTTTCCCTCATCTTCAAAGCCAGCAAAGGTGAGTTGAGTCCTTCTCACATCATATCACTCTGACCTCTTCTATTGTCACATCTTCCTTTGATTCTCCTCTGCCCGCTTCTTCAACTTATAAGGACCCCTGTAACTACACTGGGCCCACCCAGGTAACCCAGAACAATCTCCCAATCTTTAGGTCAACTGATTAGCGACCTTAAATTCCATCTGCAACCTGAATTCACCTTTTCCATGTTACATAACATAGTCACAGGTTCCAGGAATGAGGACATGGACATCTTTGGGGGCCTTTATTCTCCCTACATAAAAAGAGATCTCTGTGCAGGCATAAAAAGTAAATGAAGGGGTGAGGGTTGATATAGAAAAAGAGGAATGGGCCAGCATGCAAGTCTAGAAATGCTGGAGAAAGAACACATTTGAAACCTAAATGGACTTAAGAGAAACAAATAAACATAGGACTTTGATTTGTGCTCCAAGTTTTAGGAAGATACATCTTCCTAAATGTTCCTGAATATTCTTGTTTTATGTGCAATGAAATAATTTTGAAAATTACTTCACGCATTTCCCTCTTCTACATGTCTAGCTGCTTCCCCATAAAAGCAATGATGAAATCCCTTTTCTGAAGACCATTAGAACTGTAGAGTCCTAGACCCATGTTCCAAAGAAGTATGTATTTTCCTAAAAAGTAGCTATGGTAAATAGGAAAAGTTAGCTTATCTTCTAAGCTTGAGACATTTGGACAATGCATTACACACACACACACACACACACAGAACTCTTTTCATCTTACAGAACTGAAGCTCCATAAACAATAAACAGGAACTCTCATTCTTTTCTTCCCTCAGCCCTGGAAACCATCATTCCATTTTCTATTTCTATAATTTGGCTATTCTAGTTACCTCATAGAAGTAAAGTCATACAGTATTTGTCTTTTCGCTTTTTTTTTTTCTTAATGCCTATAGCACCTGATATTCCTAGGTAGTCTGCCATCCAAGTACTAACCAAGCCTGACCCTGCTTAGCTTCTGAGATCAGATGAGACTGGGCGTGTTCAGGGTGTTATGGCCGTAGACAGTATTTGTCTTTTCATGATTGGCTTAGTTCTCTTACCATAATGTCCTCAAGATTCATCCATATTGTAGCATATGTCAGAATTCCCTTCCTATTTAAGGCCAAATAATATTTCATTGTATGTATATACCACATTTTGATTATCCATTCATCTGTTGATGGACACATGGGCTGCTTCCATGCTTTAGCTATTGTGAATAATGCTTCTAAGAAAATAGAGGTATAACTATCTCTTTAAGGCCCTACCTAGAAGTGGAATTGCTGAGTCACAGAGTAAATCTATTTTTAATTTTTTGAGAAACAGCCAGGCTGTTTTCCATATCTACTGTACCGTTTTACACTTTCATCAAAGTGCGCAAGGGTTCCAATTTCTCCTATCCTAACACCAACATTTGTTATTTTATGTTTTTTTTTTTTTTAATAGTTGTAATCCTAATAAGTGAGAGGTGGTATCTCATTGCGGTTTTCATTTGCATTTGCTAATGATTAGTGATGTTGACCACTTATATGTCCTTTGGAGAAAAGTCTATTCAAGTCCTTTGCCCATTTTTGAATTTTTTTGTGTTGTTGAGTTTTAGGAGTTCTCTATATATTCTGGATATTAACCTATTACCAGATATATGGCCTGCAAATATTTTCTCCCATTCCATGGATTGACTTTTCACTATTAATAGTGTGTTTTGATGCACAAAAGTTTTTCATTTTCATGAAGTCCAATTTGTCTATTTATTCTTTTGTTGCCTGTGCCTTTGTTGTCACATCCAAGAAATCACTGCCAAATAAGATGTTGTGAAGCTCTTCCCCTATGTTTTCTTTAGATAGTTTTATAGTTTTAGCTCTTACATTTACATATTTGATCTTTTTTTTTAATTTTTAATTTTTTTATTTTTTACGCCTACAGCACCTGATCTTCCTAGGTGGTGTCCCATCCTAGTACTAACCAGGCCCGACCTTGCTTAGCTTCCGAGATGATCATTTTGAATTACTTTTTGTACATAGTGTGAAGTAAAGGTCCAACTTCTTTCTTTT